GCATTCTACCCAGAATGACCCCCGTCGTAGTCATATCCACCTCATATCTGCCATCCTTCTTAAATGATAGCTTCGAAACAGTTGCATCCGTACACCAGAATGAGCTCTCGATGCCGGCCGCTCCGTCAAGATACTTCTGTCTTACGTATTCGATGAGTGAGATCTCCCGTGCAGACCACGCTAATATGAACCGTTTTGTTCTGTTCATAATACCAGCGTCTCTCTGGGATATTTCATCGGCATTGTGCAACGCAGTGGCGTATTCTTGGATGTACCCAAGGATGCCAGTTATCCCAATTCCACCAACGATGCAAAGTACCGTGTCAGCGTTAAGCAGAGGTAAGTGCTTTGCTCGGTGGCCAGCGTATGGCCCCTCGGTATATACCGTGATGTCCATGGTAGGATTGGTGGAGGACGCAAGACGTTGCTGAAGTCGCGCGGTGATTCCGTTGTGGGGGTGAATCAAGAACGAAACGGACATTGGACCCTGGTCCACAACCCCATTAGAAAGCACCACAATATCGGAGTTGTTCTTCGTCTCTGTCTTGTTTGTGCCTGTAGGCGGGACTCCAGCGATGACTTTGAACGAAGGACTAGTCCTGGTCTTCCACCCCGAGACGCTGAAAGGATGACTTTGCCAGAACATTCCCAAACCTGGGAAGTAGAGGAACGTGTGTTGACCAGGGCCGAAGCCTCTCATACTCCGAGGGTACACTGTCAACTGCATGACCTTCGATTCCGGAATTGCCTCGAGTGTTGCCTGTGAGCCGCCGATATGATTGAATATGGCAATGCGAAATATTCTCACTGTCCGGTCAAAGGCCCAGAATGCGAAGCAGATGTAAAGCCAGGTTTGGTAGCCGAAAGCCAGGGTGAAATGGGGCACTATGTGGTACCAACATGCAGCCAACGCGGCAGCTACGAGGACAATGTGGAGAGCTAGGAAAGTCTCGTAGAAGTTGATCCGCATCGGGAGAATAGCAACCCCCATGGCCAGGCTGAAGCATATGGTGGCGATAATTCCCCAGTACTGCCGATAATGTTAGCAAATGTGGCCAAATACTCAAAAAGACGACAGCTTACGTAGAAAGGTTCCGCAACTTTGGCGACATATGCTGAAAACCCGTCATAGCCAGGTTGCCAATATGCCAGTGTATACACGACTGAGTGCGCGATAGCTTGCACAGTAGCGATCCGTGCAACCCATCTGTGAAGGGTTATGAACGTCGTAAGGCTCCATCCCGTCAGAGCAATTAAGAGGTTATTGCGACCAGCGAATAGGATAGCGAGCCCGGCGTTGACCAGACTCAGAATTCCAGTGCGATTGCCTACATACTCGCAAAGCTCAAAACCCTTGGACTTGAAGTTGATGTTCGGCTGAAAGCTGCCAAACCCGATGGCAGAGAAGACGACGTTCAAAGTGATATAGATGGCAATAAAGATGCTGATAGTTCGGCGAGGAACATAACCTGCCTGTCCAGGCAAAGGTTGTAATCGTCGAGATCCTACCAAACCTGGCAGGAAGATGTACTCTCTCAGCTTTGGCCAGAATCTGGATGCTTGAAGCCGTCTGTGAATTGAAGGGAAAGCTGCCGCGAGTTGCGTCAAGACTCCACAAACAAGACATCCTCCAATAACCACGAGGTACAGAGTGAGGCTGGGTAAGGTCAGTAAGATTTCAATGGAAAGCACGAGAGAAAACGTTGTGCTACGGACGCGTATGTTGAGTGAAGATACTCGGACCTACGAAACTCGCCTTCGCTGCCGTAAGTCGAGGAGTACACCTCACTGTTCACCAAGCTCGTAATGTTGAGCCAGGTGGCATTGGCCCCAAGCTCGATGGTGGGTGCTATGAGGGGCATGCTTTGCTCGAATGTCGGCGATCGTGCTCCGCCGACCGCTTGATTACTGAAGCATTCAGCCTGCTTATCGGCGGGGTAGCCATCGGCGGTGCAATGCTGCTGAATGCAGAATGCCATTGTCTGAAGCCAGGGAGTGTTCGAGGCATAACACTCTGGCGATGTCATAGCCATCGGCATGCTCATTCCAGGCATGTTCGATATACCAGACATGCCCGGCATGGTGCTGGCTGTCGCATTGCTGAAAGTGGTGCAGGTCAACCATAACGAAGAGAGTGAGTCGTGGCACGCCTGGCAGCATAGATCTTGATAGAGCGAGATACCGAAGCCAATGACACCGCTTCCGACCTGAGCGGATACACCGAGAACCAGAACCAAGAGAGCGACGATGACTGAAGTTGCCATGGCGGGCATATCGACTCACAGACTCGTCGAAAGTCGAGCTGAAGCAGAGATGAGGGCAAATGGGTGAACAGGAACGAGCATCCGAACTGTATGATCAGTGGCCTGAGCCCGAGCTTTGGCATACGTGTCGGTGCCTACGTGCCTGGACGGAGAAAGCTGCCTGACTGGCTGTATCGGGTGCCGGTCCAGGCCCCGGTGGCAGGGCTCTGATTCGAGAAAGCTTGCTCAGATCAATGATGACAAAGATGCGGTCGCCCTCGAAAACTTGGCAACATGGAGGAGAAGGTTCAAGAGGCTAACTTTAAGATTAGACCACAAGCCCTTAGTCAATCACGTAATAAAACAACGGGGAGCGCAACATCCCTAACTTAATCGTGTACCTCGTCTCAATACGCCCTACGGCGTCGCGTCATGTGTTTTAGGAATCTAAACTCGCCGTGTGAACCCCAGCTGGCTATTCATGGCCTTCTTCCTAGACATGGCTTTCCGAGTTCCTCGTCAATGGCGTTTGCGGATACTGAAACCCAAAACCCCGCCAACAGCAGCGTGTCGCTCTGGGAACCTTGCCCGGGAGCCCGCTTGGTACCTTGAAACCCCCCCGGACTGAAGTCTTACTGCCCGAGGCCACTTTAGGAAAGCAAATGTCTGTGATCGCCCGCTTGTGCTGAGTCGAGGCGTAGTATTCGCACGTGGGCCTCGCGGGGAAGCGGCGGGAGGTATGCAGTCATGCAATCCACCCGACATCAGATCGCCATTAGTCTCTAGGTTGTTTACTTTCATGTTTCCGGAGGTGGTATCTTCAGGAAGCCTATGTTCATCATGGACGTCGAGAATTGGCTTTTCGTTATTACCACCTAGCTGGCTTCATACAGATCACTCACTAAGCAGGACTCGGGTTCTGTAAATCCACCGCCAAGTGCTAGGGTGTGCACGTCCAAAGGATATGGTGGGACGCCCACAGCTTTGGCAAGTCTTGACCATGAACAGGGGAATCGAGCCACCAACGGCCGTGCGGCTGAAACAGAAAGCCAATTGTCCGGGCTATCCTCACCACTCCGTCCCGTCTGGGCGGCAAATTGACTTAACCTATGTAACACTGTATAGGGTTGCCTGCCTTGAGCAGGTAGTATACCAAATCCAAGTCCAGGGCTGGGGTGTCTTTCAGAACTACATGTATCAATGTCTAAAGATCTCACGGACATGAGTCTTGCACAGCGGTATATCAAAGTTGTTGGCTTTCTTATGAAGAGACGCATGTCATACCACCTTTGCTGATCTTTCCTTCCGGTTCTTGGCATTATCTCTGTCATTCTTGCTGTCCGCGTATTCTTTCCCTCATTTTCGTCCCCTCCCACCGTCATTAGTGTCAAGAAATACTCTGAAATATGGTATCTCGGGTTTCTATCGTAGGCGCTGGGCCAGCTGGTTTTGCCCTTGCTGCCGATCTCCAGAACAATGCAAAGAGTACACTCTTGTACTCTCACGAGACTCATTTGCGGCATGCCAATGATGTGATGAGCAAAGGTCGGCTTATGCTCAGCGGCATGATGGAGGGCTTTTCGCACCTGCGCTTGACGACCGACATGAGCCAAGCTGTAGCATTCTCCAAGATTCTCATTCTCACTGTCCCATCGACTGGGCAGCAGACAATCTTGGAGGAACTGAAACAGTACGATCTTAGACGCCATACAATCATCGCCATTCCCGGAAATTTGGTGTCTTTGTTGATGGATGCTGAGATCGAGGTGGCCAACATATTGGAGACCAACCTGTCGCCGTACTCATGCAGGATGGATGACAACAACCTTCTCGTCTTCGGGAGAAAGAAAGTTGTTTTCATTACAGCCTTGCGAGCCGATATGCGGCCCGGGTTCTACGAAGACATCCAAAGTATCTTCCCAATGAAGCTTAAGTGGTGCAGTAGCGTCATTGAAGTCAGCCTCTCCAATGTCAACGGGGTCTTCCACCCGGCGATGATGCTGATGAACGCCGGACGCATTGAAAGCACTGCTGGAGACTTCATGTTGTATCGAGACGGTCTTACGCGATCCGTGGCCAACACGATGCAAGCGATTGACCAAGTACGAATGGAGATAGGCAGGAAGTTCGGACTTCGCCTCGGAACTGCCGTCGACATATCCAACGAATGCTACGACCAAAACTTCACTGATCTCGTCGACCTGGCGCAAAGTTCACCACCACATAATAGGCTGAAGGCTCCAAGCGACATCGATAATAGAAATATCACCGAAGACGTCCCAGATCTACTTGTATCCTGGCATGGCTTGGCTGAAAAGCTGGGCATAGATGCATCACCTATTGCAGCCATCATTGTCCTCGCCGAGATGGCTATGGGTGCGGAGTATCGGAAAACGGGAAGGAATCTGCGGAAGCTGCATTTGGATGGAGTCGGGCGGAGCGAGCTTGTTGCCATGTTCAGCCCTTTTGAAGCAACACAAAACGAAGCGAGATTGTGAGAAAGAGTCTGCGACCCTTATCCATAGCTCAGCGCGCATCTTATCATGACTATGCATATTTCATACTTCTATGGTCGTACATATGCCATTTGTATCCGTAAATAAGAGAAATACATTACTTTTGTTCAGCTCAGTTCGGTCATTCCATGCATGTCAGTATTGATGTTTTTTGCTAGCCAACAGATTCTGCTGCATTTATTCCTCTATGCTATATGTCTCTTCTCCGCCTGATCACGTTTTCATTGCTGCTGAACCTATGCTACAAATCCACTTTGTTTATTGGCAAGCTGCGAATCTTGGCACCATGTACTGCCAAGATCCAGGGGATCGGAGTCAATGCCAATGCAAGGAATGCCAGAAGACTATTTCCCCAACCCCATCCTAGCCTGTGATACATGCTCAGTCCGCTAAGCGGTAAGAATGCCCCAGAGAGGCATCGCAGTACCGCATTTGCTCCGACAGCACTGGCCGCGTATCGCTCAAACGTATCAATGAGATACGTCTGGATACCCGTGAAGATCAGGATTGACCCGAAGCCGGTGATGGCTGTGCCTATCTGGGGGACAATCCAGTGGACACGATATTCGACGCACCAGCCATAAATGAATAGGCCAGCGGGAAATGTCAGTCCCCCAGGAACCGTGATTATGAAGGCAAGCCGATCCTCAGGCGTTGGAGTCTTCCCTTCAGCCACGCGCTTTCTAATTGTTCTATCGCTGAGTGTACCGATGTAATAAGCCCCTAATAGTGTGCCGATTCCTCCAGGAAGGAATACAAGGCCATCAGCTACCGTTGAGAAGTTATAGACCTCGGTGAAAACAAAAGAATACGTCGCATAGAGCAGGTAAAGCGTCCCGTAGAGGGTTGCGACGTAGGTGCATACGACCGTGATCATCGGACAAGTAAAGAGCAGCTTTGGCGGCCGAATAATGCTTCGACGGAACAGCTCGCTCGGAGTATAGTCTGGCGCGAGAGACGAACGGAAGTTAGGATTTCCCGTCTCCTTACGCAGTCTGGCAGCTTTTCTCTCTAGTAAGACGGGTGGATAAGTTTCCTTCAATACGAGAAACATAAATATGCTGACAACGGCAATCTGCCTTCATGGTGAGCTGCGTCCATCAAAAGGCATCATAGATCACTTACAACGATGGAGATTGCCCAGAACATCCATCTCCAGCCGGCGACCTCCGTGATATAGCCTCCAATGATGGGTCCCGTTGTTGGTCCGAGGATGGTGCCGACAGACCAAATCGATGCAGCTTTCCCCCTCTTCTCTTTCGGCATCAAGTCAGCAATGCTGCCCGAGCCAATCGTTATTGTAGCCACGCCAGCGAATCCAGACAAGAATCGAAGAAACAACAGCATGCTCTCGTTTTTCGAAAAGCCGGACATCATCGTAGCCAGCATGAAAACTACGTTCGACACGTTGTAGATCAACATCCGGCCGTATAGCTCACTTAACGGAGACAAGAAAAGTGTTCCACATGCAAAGCCTAATACGAAGATTGATACCACAAAGGTAGCGAACGTGTCAGAGTTGGTTTTGAACTCTGCCATTATGAGGGGAACAGCCGGCGCGAGCATCGCGGACACAAGCGGCCTTTTCATGTTAACATGTATCTAAAAGGGACAGTATTTGAAAATATGTCACTCACACCAAGAAGCTGATGACCGAGATCGTTAGGATATGAGTCCATTTCACCAGAGATGACCAGGCCATTGGATTCTCGGGATCTTCATCTTGTGGTTCGCTCCAATGCACGACAAAGTGAGTACTTGACTCATCCTCTTCGGCTTTGACAGAGATATCAGGCTTAGACTGCATGTACGTTTGGCTCATTGCCGGATGGTCGTGATTGAGTAGGTGTGGTGAACTAGAAGCCATGGCTAGTGCATTTAGCTCGAGCTGTTGATTAATGATAGTAAGCCACCCGATAGTTCGAAAAGCTGAGTAGCAGAAATGCCAAGCACTCGATTCCTTGAGAGCTGTAGTCTGCAGATCGAACACCTCGCTTGGCTCCTTGCCAACGGCGTGGAGGTTCAGGGATGACCCCTTTCGCAACCGGGCGGAAGATCTCGGAAAATGCCGTAATGCCCGAGACCGAATCCTTCTACCATCTGGAACCAGGATGTGCTTTTTCCTTGCGTCTGCGGCCGTCTTCTTAAGGCGTTGACTTCGTCCTATGCAGTCGACTTTTCCATTAGCCGACGAATGAGGAAAGATGATCCGCGTGGAGATCTTGACGCAGGAACCTTATTCTAGAAACGCGATGCGACCTGCATACACATCGGACTTTTTAATCTTGTCTCAAACTAAATTTGGTGTGTGGCACGGGTAGAGTGAGCGCCAATGATATGCATGAGTAGCGGTATGATGGGAGGTGACGTTTTCTAAAGTTTGTCCAAACAATTCTACCCCCCGGGAGATCAATTTCCGTCGGTCTCGTACTCCCCAGCCGTCAGATCAGTGAATCAAGACAAGATCTTCATGAAGATACGCGTACTCACACACAAGCCACCGCCAAGCGCGGCTAAGGCTATGGACATGGTTACGCGAGAACGACAACTTGAATAGCACGAAGAGACAATCATTGAGTTATAGCATTATCGTCTATCACCGTGCACAGCTTGGATCCCATGGAGACGTGAAGTCATCTTAGCCTTCTACCCTCTAGTGGCTACTGTAACCAATAACTGCATGTCCATGTGAATGCCGTCTTTCGTCGTGAGCTTCTCCCATTCCTGCTTCATGTCTTCCCGCACCTGGGATCGCAACTCCACCGGAACGCCGCCATAGGTCTTTCCTGAGGAACTTGAGTCTAGCCAATTGATCATGGCTTCTCCATCTTTCGCTGTCTTAACAATATTGTTTATGACAAAAGCTGTCTCCTTAAATCCCGCATCGGCTAAGAGCTGGTCCAAGTCTTTCTGTTTGATGAACTTTGGCCCGCTGATGACTGGGTATTTTCTGTATGGCTCTCTGCCAAGGACTTCCTCTTTGATCTTTTCGTGTGCTGCCTTGTAATCCCCGGAGCCGCCAGACATCCCAAGTCGGCCGCCGGGTCTCAGCACTCTAGCAAACTCCGCAATTGCCGCAGGCTGGTCCTGTACCCAGTGGAACGTGGAGTTGACGAAAACGATGTCGTAAGTAGCCGTCTTGAATTGCGACAGATCCTCGGCTGTTCCCACGTGGAACGACAAGTTGGGCCTTGCTACTTCGCGGGCAAGGGCAAGGCGCTCTTTGCTGGGATCCACACCGTCAACGTGACCCTCCGAGCCGACTATGTCTGCGATGTGAGCTGTGAGGTTGCCTGGTCCGCAGCCAACATCGAGAACACGCATGCCTGGGCCTACTTTCAATCTGTCAAGGAGGAACAGGCCTGTGTTGAACTGAGTGTCGTTCACGAGGGTGTAGCCTCTCGCCAGTTCGTCTGTATCCGTAGCAGCCATTCTGTCGGGTGGTGTCGTAGATCCGGGCAGCCTGCCGTTGGAAGTCGATCACACACTGACGTCTCATTCCAAATGACTGATGGCTTTATACGCGGTTGAGTCGTCAAAGCGCTAACCACTTTCGAGATTCACAAGCCGTGCGTCTCGGCCAATGCGACGGCTTCGTACGTCAACAGTGTAGTCCGCTGCCAAAAAAGCGCTGGGGCGGCCCGAGGTCCAAGTTGACTTTGTGGGGTTTGAGCTGCGGCCCGGGAATCCCGGACAGTGCAATGGGGGAGTCAAAATATTTACTCGTCTGAAGCTCCCTCTTTCATGCCGTTAAACGTTTCGTATTTGTTTGATTGAAGAGTTAGGCATCCCGTCGCTAGCGTCAACCGGACCAAACCGCACACTTTTGGAGACTCGGGTAATTGAATCCAGAGGGAATGCAGTTGCTGAATCGTAATTGTTTCATGAATACTGGCATATTCCGAACATCCATAGTCATTGTATACGGTATGGGCAGGTTGAGTTGTCTTCTAGAACTATGTATGAGAGTCAAGGCTCCATTTCAGACGGGCTACATGTAACATCGTCTTCTGTGACGCAATAAGTATTGTCGAATTGAACACCAGGGCCGTCAGTTTTGTACTCTGCACTAGACTCGACGTTCTACTGACTTGTCTTGTGTTCTCACCTTTGATCTAATAACTACAACGGGCCGGACGTTGGTAGTAGGGATTGTGTATCTTCACACCCAACCGCATCATCTGGAACCCGGAAGATATGCACGCCGCATGAAGCTGCGAAAGCCCATCGCATAGTTAGAATAAGGGTCTTGTGAACACTATCATACCAAATCACTCTCCAACCTAAATGTTCTTAGTTGTACTATCCACTTCCGTTCCCAACTTCTCTTTGCCTTCTGCAGTTTGGCTCTCTGAATCTGCTTCAAGGCCATGGACTATATCACCAAACCCAGTCACAACGTAGGAGAGAAGTGTAGGCTTGTGAGGAAAGAAAAGGTTGGAGAAGTAATAAATGAAAATAGACAAGAAGAACCCATAAAGCCAATTGAAACTGAATAAGTTCGCCAAACCTTGATCAATATGAACAGATGTTGGCGACACCTTTGCGGCCAGCCCAGGCATGACTGGGATGATCACCAGAACCATCGTCAGGGCAGCCCTCCAGTTAGTGCCGTATTTTCCGTAACTGTATATGCCATTTGGATTGTAGAGAGCAGGAACATCGTACTTCTTCCGCTTGATGAGCCAGTAGTCCGTGAACAGGATACCCGCCATTGGAGCCATGAAGATGGCATAGGCACTCATGAAGTTGAGAAACGCCTTGCCAGAGGCAACGATAATCCATGGGCAAAGGGCCCAGCCGCCAATGAAAGCGACGAATACTGTACCGCGACGGATGTTGAACCACTTCGGTGCTACCGTTGTAATATCGTTGGCGAAGGAGACGGCATTTGCGCTGATATTGACGCTGATCTGCGCAAGGAGCCAAATGGAGGCACAAATGAAGCCTGCAGCTCTACCACCGGCAGTGTTTTGCCACGTGCTGATGATCTCGAGCGGCGTCCAGTACGTTACTCCCCATATTTCTTGGGCGGCAGAGGCGGAGATAACACCGAAGAGAGCGACAATTGTCTTGAAGAATGGTATAACAGGCAGCTGCCACACCTGGGAACGTCTTTCTTTGCTGAAGCGAGAAAAGTCCGCAATGTTTACAGCGAGAGTGCTGTAACCACCGGTAACGCTTGTCTGCATCGAGGTAAGTACCCATGAGCCCAAACGATGATCAAGGTTTGCTTACAAGATTAGACAGCCACAGCCATGCACGCTCTGCACCATGAACTTGACTGGGCTTGTTGAAGAAGTCACCCCCACCACCAGCACGAAGTGAAATCCATATGACCTGGAAGAATTTTGTCAGAACCTCACCATGAAAACTAATTTATGAACACTCACCATTGCGAGGGCCATTGGCGGCGTAAGAACCGTCTTCACCCAAAACATCTTCTGCAGCTTATGCGTCGGAATCAGAAGCAGAGGGAATTGGATTAGCCAGTAGATCAGGTATGATATCATTCCCACTGTGGTGAGACCGGCTGAAGCAGGTAGGTGATTGGGGATGTCCTTGAAACTAGGCCAGATGGCAGCGATTACCTAGCAGCACTGTCAGACAAGAACCGCCAACATCTCTCGGCCATACCCACAGAGGTCACGCATGTCGCACCGCCAGCTGTCTGCACGCCAAACCAGAACATAGCTAATATGCCACGGCTTACAACGGCAAAGTAGCTAAACCAATAGCCAAAGCTAGCCCGAGAAGCAATTGGGAATGGAATATGCAGATCAGACCCGATTGCCCCGTTCAGGACTGTTGGAATGGCATTGCAGATGCCGGCAACCAAGACAATCAGGATGGCATCGGTAGCAGAAAGGCCTTTAACGGAACATTAGCCTGGCGTTGGAAATTGTGAAGAAAACAACATCGCCATCATACCAGTTGTAACAATAGCCGCGCCAGTGTTCCAGGTCGAGATAGTCACAAGATCCGAGAACCAGTACGTGATGAAGGCCCCTTTGCCCCACGTTCGCCTTTCCGGAGGCACGGGGTCCATGTCCGCGTTCGTCCATACCTCAGGAGGCGCGATGCTGCTCTCCTGCTTTGAAAGTTTCCAGCTTGTGGGATCGGCAAGCCGAAGCTTGATCTTTTCTTTGGCAGCTTGGCCACGTTCTCGGTAAGTCATGTTTTCCGTCGTGACCATCTTACTCAAGAAGCTGACAAGCCCACGAACATTAGTAGCTCTTGTAAGACAGGAAGGTAAACAATTCTGCTCAGAGATGAATGACAGTCGAAGACGTGCTGGTCAGGCGTGAATACGCCATGCTCATGAGCCTGCAGGTAATATTTCAAGCAAGAAGCTCAACTTGCATGCTGTACACGATTGCAACCAATCGCGAATCCTTGTAGATAGACTTGATCTGAATTGGTAGTGGGTGGAGATAAGGACGATTTGAATGCAGACCTCGGCCGGGGGTGCTATCGACGACTCCATCTTTGACGATCCCCGGCCATCGGCTAGCGGGGCCGTCACACCCTGGAGCTAGCCAGAACCAATGACGGACTTTGAGATCCTAATCTCTGATGCCGTTGGTTCATCTCCCAAAGATAACGCAGGAAGCAATCGGAGCAAAGGCACTCGGCAAAGGGAATTGCCAGTGTTGATCCGTGAAACTTGGATTTGTTCTACTTGCCCGTATCTTGTCCCCGAGGACTTCTTTTCGGCAACTTTTGCCATTCCACCTAATATGTCAGCATCCGCTTCGTTGGCATCGAACAGTCGCAACAGACTGGCCTGCGCGTCCTGTACACGGAGGAAGGTGAAATGCAGCAAGACTGTACCATGTAGCAACTGTGTCCGAAGGTAGAGTAGCCTACGGGGAAGGCACCGAATGTCTCGGTCGTTGTTCTGGAAGACTTTTCTGAGCGGGATGCTAACTTGCGGAATCCATACTCTTAGAGGCGAACAGGATGCATGCGTTCTCGGATCAACCGAGACGGACTCGTCCACAGTAGTAGATTTACGAGCCTCCCCTCAACATCGATCACCGTCGGACGCCGCTCGACAACTCCATGTTCTCCACCGCAGGATAGCCGAACTTGAAGCCGAAGTGCAGAAAGCTACCTCCGGCACAGCATTGCAGCACAATCCTCTACCTGCAGAAGACGAGGAAACTTCTCATGAAGTGCTGCACCTTGATCCCACTTTGAATCCGCCCGAGTCCATAACACATCGGACGGATGTTCAGAATAACCGACTTGACAGCAACGATGCCGTTATGAAAGACGCGGCATCTATTCTGGAGTTTCTAGCTTGGGGGCGACATAAGGATCCCGAATATCATTCCACTGTCTCGCCGGAGGCTACGTTGACTGCCGGAACGGCTTCAGGCGATGTCTGGGACAAAGGTTCTCACGTCATAGAGTCTGCGACCAATCCTTTTGGAGATTGCTCTCAACTTTCCGTCATTCAGCTACTGCTCCCAAGTCCGCAACAGGTCTGGCAGCTGGTTCAATACCACGAAGAGTGCCTACTTTGGTATCATGGCTCATTCTTCGCACCGAGTTTCCGCGACCAGCTGGAAGCCTTCTATGCTGATTACGGCGGCATGATTGACAGACCCGGCGTCAATCTGCAATGGGTTGCTCTTCTTTTTTCCATCATGACGGGAAGTCTGGTCTGCTCTCCACCGGCTACCCTGCGATCCTGGGGCTTCCGCGATCCGGAATGGAGAATTCTGTCCAAACGCTGGTTTGGGGCGGTCTTGACGTGCTTGAACCGAGCTGACTATACAGCCAATCTGAGCATCTTGTCCTGTCAAGCTATTGCAACAAACACCATATCCGCGCATCTTCTGGGATTCAGTAGTTCTCAAAGCATTCAGCTTGCAGCAGCTGTTCGCATAGCCCAGTCACTTGGTCTTCACCGTCTAGGCAGTGAGACAACGCGGAATATAGTGGATAGAGAGATTGGCAGACGGGTTTGGTGTCAGCTTTGCAGCCAAGACTGGTTTGGGATACCGTTCTCCGAAAGTTATTTAATCAACCCACTGTACTCGACTTCAGAGCCGCCATTGAACTGCCATGATCAAGATTTGCTGCCACTACCAGTGGGCACACCAACCATCACGAGCTATTGCCGGTTTCTTCGCGAGGTCGCCTCTATTATTCCTCAGCTTCAAGATGATTTGATGGTTCGAAACACTGCTTATACTCGGTATGAGCAGGTTCTGGCTTGGGATGCTCGCCTTCGTACTCTTGTGACCACGGAGAGACCGATGTTCCTTTCGCATGTTCCCATCGACCCGCAGTGGCCCTGTTGGATTCCTTGGGCTCGCCGTGCTCTAGCAATCAGCTCCGGGCATAAGATCATAATGATCCACCGATCATTTCTCTCTGACAGTTTCACTAATCCCGCTTTCGCATTTACCCGTCGGACGTGTCTTGCAGCATCAAAGACCATCATCAAAGAGTACAAGTGTGTTGTAGATGAGGATGGACCAATGCTCTGGATACACCAAGCATTCTCGGTCGCCGCGTCAGTCATACTTCTGCTGGACGTTCTTCACAGAGACCCCAGCGACAGGGAATCAACTGAGCACAAGCAGCTTGCTGAGAGCGTCATTGCGATACTACATAATCACCGAAATAGCATGATTGCCGTAAGGGGTATCAAGCTGCTAGGTGCGTTGTTGGCGGAAGTTTCCAAAGTTGCTTCAACGAGTGGAGCCCCAAATCAAGGGCGAAAGCGTAGGAGACATGATGACACTTTCGTCTCATCCAATGCAGACAGCCCCCGAAACAGCAGGTCAGGATATAAGTTCGACCTTCCAGGATTCGTCAAGACGTTCTCCGTGGGCACGGCGAGCAGTCAGTCGGCTGGTTCATCTCGTTCTGTCGGTCAACAGCAATCACAAATGGATGTACAGGTGGAGGATCCTCAAGAGAGCGATGATGTGGGTGAACCTGGCGGGGAAGACGCTGGCCACATCATCGAACCCTTTCTCGGTTACTCATTTAATACTGTGGGACTAGACGGCGCCAACAGTTTCGAGAACCTCTTGTACCTTGTGAATCACGACTGCTTTTCTGTGCCTTGAGACTCTATCGTTGTATTGGTAGCTCATCGAATTCCCCCTTCGCAATGGTAGCTAGACTTAATTTAGAGACTGCCTATTTTTCCTGCGTCTCCAACTATTCTCTACATAATTATTATCATAGTTGCTATCTATGTTATCTTCGTTATCGTCGTCGGCGTCGTCGTCCTCAATTTGTTGTCGTTGTTACCTCCGTTTTTTAATCCCGTCTGCTGTCGTCCTCGATCGGACTAAGTCAGTACATAGCAAATACAGTCGCGCAAAACTAAAAGAGATAGGCCATTCTCAAGCGAAGTATCGCACATGCTGTATACTCCCTATGCTACTAACTTCTTTCATCTTTTCTATTGAATTCCGATGATTATCATTAGTATTATCCTTTTCACCCTCGTTGTCTCTATCCGCCCGTGTAGAGAAGGCTTTCGACAGGCGTCTACAGAACGCCAGCCGACCAACTGTTTCACTTTGCGATGTCGAAAGCTTGACCTGTGATTGGCAATTTGTATGTTCCCTTTGCAGGGCGCAACCGCTCTCAGGCGAAACCACCAGAACGAAGTTCATTTGGGTCGAATCTTAGTTCACTTCTCTCACAAGTTTTATCTAGATCACCACCTTCCCAAGAAGCTCTGTGACAGCTTGCTCTACAACTTTCAAATCCTCGATTATAGGCTGGTGTCCACTCTTCACAACTTCAACCCAGCTTTCTCCACCCAACAGCTTGCTAAGCTCCCGAGATCGTTCGACGGGACTAATCATGTCCTTGTCTCCGGCAATAAATGCTGCAGGACATTTGATAGCCGAATAGTTAGGGTCCGCATGCTCCAAGTCCGCAAGCGCCTCGCATGTCTGAGCATATCCCTCCGGATCCGATGTAGCAACCATTTTACGAATGGCCTCTCGCGCCACAGGATCGGCCGAGCGGTCGGGTGTGTCCTCGTAGAAGTTCGACTTGGTGGCCATTTCCGCTCCGAAGAGTATTCCTTTCTCCCTCACGTTTGCAGCGAGGTCAAGCATGCGTTGGCGGGCTGCAGGGATATGTCCAATGGCTCGGCCGGGACCGAGGAGGATGAGGCCGGCAACGTTGTCGGGATGCTGGGCTGCGTAGTGCAGCGCGACGATGGCGCCGAGGGAGTGGCCAATGATGATAGTTTTGCTCGTTTTGCCTTGTTTTTGAGAAGATTCTTGGAGAGATGTGAGGAGATCGTGTAAGTCGGCGACATGGCCCGCGATTGTGAGCTTTTTCGTTTGATCAGCCAGCGGTGTCTTGCCGAAACCTTGAAAGTCAACCAAGGCAATTTGGTAGGAACTGGGTAAAACTGGCAAGAGTCTTTCAAAAGCTTCAGTCGAGCCTCCCAGACCGTGAAGGCAGACCAGGGGCGGTCCAGAGGGGTCGCCGGTGAGGAGGTAGTGAGTCTTGGTCCCGGAGGAGGTGGTGATGTAGCAAGAAGATGGCGCTGAATTCGTCATTGTGAAGGCTACAATTCTTGCAAAGATCTCTGTTTGTGTCTCATTTCAGACGTCTCTGTTTGACATAAGTCGCGTTTGCAAACAAAACAGCTTACATTGCGATCCTCTTGTCGAGGTTTCGTCTTCCCGCAGAACAATCATCCCGACAACACCCCTGTCACTTCGGCCGAGGAAGTTCAAGCCCCACCTCTGGGTTCGGCCGGGCTCAGACTGTCTAATTTTGACTGATCGATAAGATTGACGTCCGATTCTGATAGAGCCACACCGGTATGCAAGGTTCTCTTGCTAGGTTGGCCACATTTTGGGTCGGTGAAATTGAGAACACCATCAATCTGATACAAGAAGCGGCAGTTAAGAAAAAATCGGTTAGCTTTTAGAATTCGACCCTAAACTCTTTCAACTCAATAGATGAGAACCAGTCATCGTTCCTATCAGAATTCATCATGGTCATCACGTCTGTTGTCACCGAAGAGGCAACCTGCCTAGAGCCTCAGAAAATCCACTTCACTCTCCCACATGCTCAAGCTACAAGCGGCCGCGTAGTCCCCATAGCGCATGCGAAATCCAGCAAAGTCGACTTTGGCGCCGAGATTTATGGCATTGATCTCAACAACTTCACTGA